TTTTTTTTTGATACAGCAGAGAAAGATCAGTGAGGTGATGCTAAAATAATTTAGTTTGATGTGATTAAAACCAGCTACATTTCATGTTGTGTTAATTGTTAGATAAAGTAATTTTATCAGTGGTTTTGTGTGATTTTAAAAATGGGACGTCTGTTTATGAAAATAAGTGTACGTTTTCGAATACAAAGTTTTGAATGTTTTATAATTACTATTAGTGATCACAGGGGAGAATAAACAAACTAGGATACTTCTTATTCATCACGTTGGCTGTGTCTAAAAACCTAGTGAGACGCCTACCTAGTCACCATTGTTGAGCATCCCACGCGCACTCACGCCTATAGTGACCACATGCTTTCTAAGTAGACGGCACGCTAGGCATTGAGATACAGCCCACATGAACGGCGATATTAGGGATGCGGGTGTTATTGTATTGATGTGTTGTGTACTCACTCTTGAGCGCGCAGATCAGCTGGTGTCCATCTTTAATCAGCTCTTTAATGAACGTGTTCGTTCGGTCCAGCTCGATCTCGTGACATTTGAGTCTCTCTCTAAAGTCCGGACTGTCCACAAAAGAGTCACTGAACTCTAGAGTCGGCAACCCCATAATCAGACCTGAAATAAAGCCTCACAAAACAATGCAACTCGGTATTTCCTCAGAAACACTAGCGCACCCGTGTCATCGTTATCCTCCGTATTCACACTCAAACGCGGAAAGTGTGGCTCTCTTGCACAGATTCATGCGAAAGTTTCTTCACTTCCTCTGAACTTTCATCAAGCCAAACTTCTGCAGCAGCCAGCTTGAGATCATGAGACTCCTGCTGGTTATATTAGATAAACCTGCTGTATGTGTAATTGCTTTACTCTTCAACGTTCAAACACTTTCATTAATAAGGTAAGTTGCTCACAAAAATCTCCCTTATCAAATAATAAAAAATCTCTCTCTCTGTGTACAAAAAATTGGGAAGGACTCCTTGAAAAAGTCAAAGGTCGACTTGAAAGATGGAAGCCCTGATAGCACAC